GACATTCGAGGTCCATTCGGATTGAACTTTTCGGATACTTTCACTCAGCGCTTTGCGTATCGATATTGTAATTATTACAAAACGTTTTATTAAGTAATATTAAGTATACCTTTCCAATACGAAATTTATCTTGTTTAAATTTTTGATTTATTTTGTCGCAAACTCACTTGATCGCCGTGCGTGCATTATGCATGATGTACACCATTGTTTTTCTCACATATTAATAAGGGGCCATAAATTTAAAGCGGTATTCGTTGGGCAATGCGAATTCACGTGCCCAAATGTTAAGCGAAATAACCACGTCATTTATAAAAAGCTGCTGCTGCTGCTGCTGTGACGTGTCATTTCTTCTTTTTCAGTATAACGAAACTGTATTACGTCGATTGGTCTTAATATTATGTAACGTGGTCTCAGGGTCAAGTTTTCGGTTAGTTCTGCAAGAATTGCAAGAATGATATATATTCTTATGCGAGCACTCTCTTTTCTCAAACAGAAGAAAGGGTATGGGACATTTGAAGGCCACTGTACAACGTTACATATATTATGTATCTGTAATAAAAAATGAAAGAATTTTTTCTATATGTATTGTCTATTCTATTATTTAAAATTCAATCATAAAGTGCGAACGTTAGATTTGTCCGTAAATTTTTTAAGAAATACAAAATAAAAGATATCTAAAGCACGCATAACCGGCATAACAATCCCAGGTAGCACATATTAGTTTCATATACGTTTTTTGAACGTATACATAGTTTCATAATCGTAAAGAACCATTAAGAAACGTTTGAACAGAAATGTTTTTGAAACCATAATTTAAGACCATAATTTTTTACGTTTCTACAGTTAACAAAAATACCTATTTGTTAAATTTTTCCTTTCAAAATTATAATTTGCTTTATCTATATATATATATATATAATAGCTTTACTAGCCTTCATTGAAACATTTAAATTTATATTGCACTACCCAGATAGCACATACACGTTTCAGATATGTTTTATAAGTGTTTTTCCGAAACATTTTATAACCGATTTCTAGAAACGTTTCTCACGAGTAAAAATGTCCATTCGAAAAACGTTCGATGGAACGTTTCTTTTTCGATAAAATAACGTTTAAAAAACGCTTATTATAGAATCTATTATAGAAACGTCTATTATAGAAACGTTTTGTATTAATGATAAAGACATTTTAGATAAAGTCATTTAAAATTCTTACTTTTTACGTCTTTTGAACGTGTTTGTCTTTGAGACATGCGTGAGAATGTTCTAGAAGCTTTATGCATATACCATCTATGACCGTCTATTCTTTTTTGAAGAAATTCTTGAACTGGTGCACATTCGTGCAATAAGTTAAAGTGAAACAAATATACTTGTCTCACTCTAACTTAATTGCATTACTATTGTACACCAGTTCAGGAAGTTCTTCAAAACGGAACACACGTTCAAATGTTCTTTCAATGGCCACAAATGTTCTTCCCCGATAGCACCAATAAATACTCATATAACGTCCATGGGCATTCTGAACATAATATGGACATCCATAGGATATTGTGTGCTGTCTGGGTTTCAGCGGAACGTGGCCTTGCCACGTTTTATTTTGCAACTGTTGGAAGTTTTCTAAGTTTGTCCGATGACAAATAGATTAAGACCGACAATAATTATAATTATGCGTACTGATGCCTCGTAATAAAAAAATATACATTACATATATATGAAAGATTTTTTTATATTTTTTATATATATTTCTAGAAAGTATATTTTTTATATATTTTTTTCATATATTATTATATTTCGTGTTTCTGTTTCAAATTCAATCATGGAAATTCTTTAACGAAACGTATGTCAACTTCGTTCTGTCAATTTCTTAAGAAACGCAAAATACCTTACGTGGGTAGTCTGTAAAGTTTTGAGCCTCAAACAAGTTTTTTTCGGTCAAATTCGGTCAAATTTTTCAACATAGTCTCCGTTTAAGTTGATGTTAGGCTCAAAACTTTTCAGATTACCCTCGTACATACCGTATTTAACATTTACTGATGTAGGACGCAATATCCGTTAGACGCGAATCCACATGAATATTTATAAATCTTCCTAATATATTTTCATAACGATTACTCTTATCTACGTATGCGGAACATGGTCAACAGGATCTAGTCATCGAAATTAGGGTCGAAAGTTGGGGGACCTCTCTTCCTCTTCTTGCACGGGTGTGCGTGCAATGCTCCGGCGAAAGGATCTCATCTCCGTTTAACAATGAACAGCATTCATTCAAGAATCCGAGAAGAGATATGATACCCTTTGATCATAATGTAACATAACGTACGATAGTCATTTGGCGAGCGCGAACTACGCAGGTGAGGAAGATAAGGTCCCCGAGGAAGGGAGACCGTGGAGAACAAAACGGATGGCGACGATTCGGCGACGAAGTCACCGCGGAACGACCACGTCGCTCAGTTCCTGAAACGTGGGCGCGAGGCACGCGTCGACAAACACCCGCGAAGACAACCCCCCGCAACCCTTTTCTCAGCGAGATGCACTTGCCCGTGGCGTTGACGATCCTCGCGTCGTCGTTCCTGATTACGCGAGTCTGCGCCCACCTAATCGCGTGGCGAGAAACGAGGAAGGAAGGACCGATACGGGACGCGATCGAGAGCGGAGCCGCCGCCGAGTACAACAAGTCCGACTGCGTCTGGAGACACGACAATGACGTTTGCCCGGATCCGGATGTGCACGTGTATCTGTACTCGCCGGGCCATCCGCGCGGACGCCTGCTGGATCCCCTAAAGCAGTCGCACTGGCTCCGGAAGGATTACGATCCCACCAAGGACAGCGCGATCGTGATTCACGGATACGCAGGTGATTATCTCGGAGTCTGTGTTTCGACCTGAAATTTTATACCGGGAAATATTTGGGATTATCGCTCGACGGAACAATTTGGAACATATATTCGGAATTGTCATTATTATCAGATGTCGAGTAGAGTGAATTTGTGTGCTCAGAAATAAAGTAAAATAAAAATTCTTTATATTATACAATGATGAAAATCGCCATTTTCAAAAGAACGTTTATTAGCATCAAACGTTACATCGGTTGAGAAGGATAAAAAACGACGGTCAAAACGTCGTGACGATTATAATTGATAAATATGGTCAATTTTAGGTCGAATAAAAAATCTTTATTGTTAATTATTTACTGGTAGCGTAAAAGTTCCTGATTTGATTTAAAATGAAAATGGATATATATAATATCCCAGGTAGCACATACACGTTTCAGAAATGTTTTATAACCGTTTTTCCGAAACGTTTTATAACCGATTTCTAGAAATGTTTCTCATGAGTAAAAATGTCCACTCGAAAAACGTTCGACGGAACGTTTCTTTTCCGATAAAATAACGTTTAAAAATTAACTATTATAGAGAAACATTTTGTTTTAATGATAGACATTTTAGATAAAGACATTTAAAATTCCTACTTTTCACGTCTTTTGAACGTGTTTGTCATTATGACCGGTAGGACAAAATTAATTTAAGTAAATAAGTGGATATATGTGCATGGATAAAATAATTTATTTTGTGCAATAATTAGTGCAATATAAATTTAAGGGGGTACCCCACTGTGTTTCAAGATAATTTTCAGGAATTAATTTCTAACAAAATATTTATGAAACACCAGTAATTTTTTTTTATTATCTTCTATACACATTGAAAAACGTGTCAAAATTTTGTTGCCTAAAAAAATATAAAACTCGTCGAGTTAAGTCGTTTCGCGCATCCCTATGATTTTCGGATGGTGTACATGATTTCGCGAAAACCAGTCGTCTGAAACAAAAATAAAAAATATCCTCATTATTTACATTGTATTGGCTTTCGTCTGACGGAGCATTTATATTTATTTTGCCCAATTGCAGTAAAAAATTCAGGAATTGTTTTCTCGTCGCCATAATGAAAAAAAAATAAAATGCTCCGTCAGACGAAAGCCAATGTAGATAATGAGCATATTTTTTATTTTTGTTTCAGACGACTGGTTTTCGCGAAATCATGTACACCATCCGAAAATCATAGGGATGCGCGAAACGACTTAACTCGACGAGTTTTATATTTTTTTAAGCAACAAAATTTTGACACGTTTTTCAATGTGTATAGAAGATAATAATAAAAAGTTACTGGTGTTTCATAAATATTTTGTTAGAAATTAATTCCTGAAAATTATCCTGAAACACAGTGGGGTACCCCCTTAAATGTTTCGAAAAAGGCTATTAAAGCTTATATATATATAGATAAAGCAAATTATAATTTTGAAAGGAAAAATTTAACAAATAGGTATTTTTGTTAACTGTAGAAACGTAAAAAATACGTTTCTTAAATCATGGTTTCAAAAACATTTCTGTTCAAACGAAAATCTTAATGGTTCTTTATATACGGTTATGAAACTATGTATTCGTTCAAAAAACGTATATGAAACTGATATGTGCTATCATGGGATATTATGAAAGTAAATAGTCTCTCTGTGCGATTTGACTGGATTTCGTTTCGATTTAGCTAAATATTAGTTGTGGGATTTTTTACTTTTTTTCCACAAAAGGGAGAACGTGTTTGAAATATATATTCAGATTCTAAAACGAGAAACTATTTTCCAAAAAACTGAATAAAATTTTTGAAAACTTATACTTCGGTGCTGAAAATGAAATACGAAACGAACGAGGAGCGTTTTATTCGAAGATCGAAGGGCATTCAAATTCCACGCGCTTGTTAAGGTCACCTAACAAGGCGACGTCTTTTAAACAGCTTTCTATAGAAATGTCCTTGATTTAGCCCTATGTCTCATTAATCTTTATATCGATCCACAGGTCCGTCGACAATAATAGCTTTAAAGGATGCTTACCTGAAGAATGGCAGCTATAATGTGTTTCTGGTCGACTGGGGGGCTTTAAGCGCCCGGCCGTGTTACGCGGCCGCGGCATGGAATATACGACCGGTAGCGAAATGTCTCGCCGGCACCCTGAAGACCTTGAGACATCTTGGCCTGCCGATCGCCAGAACCACCTGCGTCGGGCATTCCATGGGCGCTCACATCTGCGGTGTTATGACTGATTATTTTTCCTTTAGAATGCATAGGTAAATATTACTTTGTAAACAGTTACGCGCGCAGTTATAATTTATGACGTGTTCTTTCGGCGCTTGTGACAATATGGCAGTTAGTTTGATTGTTCGGCCAAAATAACACAAAGTGAGTGTGAAAAATATTAAATATTAACTTGCAAATGCAAAAAAGATATTATTACAACCGTAAGAAAAAAACACTTCGTATAAATTAATTCTTTTACATACATTTATAGGATGCTCTACTCGCAATATGGACAACATGCGTTAAAATCTTGATGCAATATGTTCTTCGCAGGATAATCGGCTTGGATCCCGCGCGTGTGCTTGTCCGTCCGGGCCTGGTGAACCGTTTGAACACCGGTGACGCCGACTTTGTCGAGGTGATGCACACCAACGCCGGAGGCCACGGCGAGGTCGGTCGCGTCGGCGACGTGGACTTTTTCATGAACGGCGGCACGATGCAGCCCGGCACGATGCAGCCCTTCTGCGCGAATCAAACGATGTACCCACAGACGTGCAGCCACTTGTACGCGGTCTGCTACATGGCGCAGAGCGTGGATAACGGCGGGAGGAGCCTGATCGCGAAGTCCTGCTTTAGGAGATCCCCGTCGGGCCCGAGAACCGCCATCCGGGCGGGTAAATACGTAACGATAGGAGAGGACACCCCGATCAACGTCAGAGGATCCTTCTGCTTCAGCAACCCCGTTCCGCCGTACTGCCCGAAGTACTGGAACGGCCACGGCAACAAGAGATGCTGCATCCCGGAGATATTGGAGAAGGTACCGCCGAAGTAAGGAGGAGATAGAAGAGAACGACGTGAAGTATGACAACTCGACGAAACGCTTAAAATCGACAAGCCGTTCTAAGTCGAATTTCGAGCTCGACCTAACGCGACTCCGATACATTAATT